CCTCTATCCCTCACCACCCCCCCCTCCCCAAAACCCCGTTTTTACTGTTTGAAAAGAAAATCACTAATAAAAATTTATATATAGAGAAAATTTGTTCATCATTGGCAGAAATGTATCCAATTGTCTGTTGATTATGTGGAAATGTGAATAGTGGTAAAGAGCACATTCTAAGGATTATTTTTTGCATTTGAATTATTAAAGTATTTCCATCTAAACCCAAGTAACTAAAGTGGAGGCATTACTTTTCATTCAACCCTCGTATGTTGAATGAAAAGTAATCATACTTTTCATACAAAGTCTGCCGACGGAGTATTGGAGCAGGCATGAGTCCAGTTGTATCTTACCAATGCAACTGTATCTTACCAATGCAATTCATGTTATTCAGCCCATTGAACACATCCTTGGAGACCTTCTTGATTTTGTTATCATGGATACGGAGTTCAACCAAAGATGGGGGCAGGTTCGGTGGGATCTCCACCAGGTTGTTCTTGGAGATGTAGAGTTTCTGCAGTTTATGCAAGGGGCTGAAAGCCTTTGGGTGGATCTTGGAGATCTTGTTGTTTACTAGCACCAGTGCCTGTAGTCACAAATGTAAAAGCCATATGGAGCAAGGTCACATAATGCATACACATGGAAGGGATGGAATTAGAGTTGACTGGTGAAATAAAGGACAGGGCTCCTGTACCATCAATGGTTGGGCATAAGAAGGAGACAAAACCTGGTGACTTTCTCTTTTTTACACAACCCTTTAATTCACCTGCCAACCCTACCTGGAATCCATCAGTCAAAGGAGGTGGGTCTACAGCTGTGGTTCTTAACCTGTGGTTCTCCAGATGTTTTGGCCTTCAACTCCCAGAAATCGTAACAGGTGGTAAACTGGCTGGGATTTCTGGGAGTTGTAAGCCAAAACATCCAGGGACCCACATGTTGAGAACCACTGGGCAGCTAAATTAGGGATAGAAACCTTCTCTCATTACAAACAGGAATATGATAGGTTAGAGGGCACCAAAATCCACCATTTGTAGCTTCAGCGTAGTCTTCAGTCCTCCTAGGGCAGTGGTTTTGAAGCTGTGGGTCCCTGGGTGTTTTGGCTTACAACTCCCAGAAATCCCAGCCAGTTTACCACCTGTTAGGAATTCTGGGAATTGAAGGCCAAAACATCTGGGGACTCAAAGGCTGAGAACCACTGTCCAAGGGCCACCAATGCCCTATTTTACCCTGAAAAAAGGAAAATCACATCCCCAAAGCCTCTTGGGAAGGGAGGAGGCACAATTAACATAGAAAATGAGTTCCTCTGCCCCATCCCTCTTTTAGGCCAGGAATAGCCTTTAAAAAAAATAGAACTGGAAGTGACTATCTTATTATTTCTTTTAAATGCTGTTAAAAATAAAGCAGAGTTATATTTACATTTAAATGTCAGATCCTGCACCCCACTCCACACAGAAGCATCTGGAAAATGTCATTTGCCATGTGGGATGAGAAAATGTCTTTCCTTGTTGAAATGTTAGGGGGGCGGGGTTGCAGATCTTGATCGGGTTGCTTTGGCATAAAGATGCTCCTGATACCATTAAGAGTACATTTACAGGTAGTGAATATATCTAAGTATTGTAACAGCAGCAATCAGTGGAGGAAATTCTGTAGAGAAGCTGCAGAATGGCCAAGATTTCTAGCAATGTGGGAAATGGAGCTGCGCACCCCACATTTGTCACTAGAGGGTACTCCATAGAACAGTGGTTCTCAACCTGTGGGTCCCCAGATGTTTTGGCCTTCAACTCCCAGAAATCCTAATAGCTGGCAAATTGGATGGGATAGCTGGTAAATTGGATGGGAAACATCTGGGGACCCACAGGTTGAGAACCACTGCCATAGAAGAACAGTCAGGAGCAGTAAATAGAGACAGGAGGCAATGTATCCTCAAGCAAAATATGCTTTGAAGGAGGGTTGGGAGAAACTTGTGGTGCTCCAGATGTTGATGAATTGCTGCTTGCATCACTATTTTCCATTAGCTAAACTGTATGGGGCTGAATGTGTCAGTACTATAGTGTTTTTGCTTGTGTGAAATATAGTTTATAGTTTTAAACTCTGGGTGTCCGGTGCAGGAGGTAATGCTATGCAAGAGTTAAAGGCATAGAGTGATTTACTGCTTAGAAAGTGAACTGTGAGCTTTTCCTGTATACGTCACACATTCCAATGGCCTGGATGTGAGATAATGGACTGCTGGGCTTTCTCTTCTAGGCGTGCCAGAGAAGCAAGACGTGTGTGTGTTTTCTCTTGTATATAGTTATGTTTGTTATTTTCTGTAGCTGTTAAGAAGTAACTAAATAAATGTGCCGCTTCATGGCTTTGAAGTTGATGGAAGAATGCAGTAATGGTAGTCAAAGTGCAATCACTGCACCTTAACTATGTAGTGCAGTGGTTCTCAACCTGGGGTCCCCAGATGTTTTTGGCCTTCAACTCCCAGAAATCCTAACAGTGGGATTTCTGGGAGTTGTAGGCCAAAAACATCTGGGGACCCCAGGTTGAGAACCACTGAGGCTGGATCTACGCTGCCCAATATTCCAGGATCGGATCCCAAATTATCTGGCAGTGCAGATTCTTATAATCCAGTTCAAAGCAGATAATCTGGGTGTGGGGCGTAACATTGCACATAACTGAATACATGATGCCACACCACATATGTAGTTTTCTATCGCCACTTTAATACCTGGGACGTACTCTGTTTCTGTCCTTTTACAGGTGCCTTTCTTCTTGACTCAGTGAGGGGAAAAAGAATTTCCTTTCTAAATCTTTATCGCCTTGTACTGCTGCAGTTTCCCTTTTAAATTGGCTGGGGCTTTCTTGTGAGCTGTTAAACCTTTGTGCTTTATATCACAGGCTTGAGATACTCCAGTAAGCAACCAAGTGACAAAGTTTATTTATAGCTTCAGGTTTCAATGCTTTATGGTTACATTTGTGTTTTGTTACAGTCTTTAGTCTTACATTCAGTATCATTCACTCAGTTAACTTTTCTTATGAAACCCTCACTGTCTCACATCTACAAATATGTTACTTTCTTCATATTCCCTTGGCTGAACTATATTCTGACTTAGGCCACACTGGCGCCTTCTTATATTTCCTTAAACCTTGAGCTTTATTTCCTGACTGCTTCTCTCTAACCAAGGTTCCTAACTGCTCTTCACTTTTTTTTTTTTAACTGGCAAACTCTAACTGCTTCTTTCAAATTTGACTCCGCCCCTTTAGAATGTTCAGTTCTGTAACTGCCATTCTGGCTCAGCGGCTTTTTCAAGTCCTGGCATATTCTCATCTGCATACGACCAATCGGCTTCACATATGCAAATTAATCCTGCCTTCACTGTTGCTACCGTATTTGAGCCAATTCTTCCCTATCAGCCATATTGTAATCTAGAGCTACACCCCCAAAATACAACATAGATCATAAAATTCACTACACTGGGATTCGATCCTTAAATATAGAGCAGTGTCGATCCAGTCTGAAAGGGGTCTTCATGTGGTTTTCACTTGATTTGTTCTAGGGTTCAGTCCTGGCATAACAAATACATTCAGACTGACCTTAAGGACAAAACGCTAATTGAAGCCCATCCTGCCCCTTCACACAAGAAGGAAAGTGGGAAAAGGCTGTTCTGATACCTACATACAGGTGGTGGAGCCCTTTAAAGTCATCTTTACGCAGCTCAGTAATCTGGTTGTTCTGTAGATCCAACAGTTTGGTGTCCCGTGAGATCTCCTTTGGCACTTCCTTGAGACCTGGGTAGAGCAGGAAGAGGGAAAGAAGAATGAGAAAGATTGGGGCTGGTTATATGAGGAGGCTGACATCATGACTGCTGGGTGGCAAGCTGTGGGCAAAGTTCAGCCAAGACTGAAAAGACAACATCTACCATCCACACTACAGAATTATAGTAGTGTTGTTCCACTTGGACTGCAATGGCTGCATCCTTTGGAATCCTGGAGTTTCCAGTGTAGGGAAGAGACTTCAGGCTCCTTAGGCTCTGTGCCTCGGACCAAAACTACAACTCCTAGGATTCAACAGAATGGAACTATGGCAGTAGAAGTTTCATCATAAGTGCTGTAATATTGTGTCCAGTTCTGGGCACTACAATTGAAGGGAGATGTTGACAAGCTGGAAAGTGTCCAGAGGAGGACGACTGAAATGATCAAGTGTCTGGAGAACAAGCCCTATGAGAAGTGGCTTAAAGAGCTGGGCATGTTTAGCCTGAGGAAGAGAAGGCTGAGAGGAGACATGATAGCCATGTATAAATATGTGAGAGGAAGTCATAGGGAGGAGGGAGCAACCTTGATTTCTGCTGCCCTGGAGACTCGGATGTGGAACAATGGCTTCAGACTACAAGAAAGGAGATTCCATCTGAACATTAGAAAGAACTTTCTGACGGTGAGAGCTGTTCAGCAGTGGAACTCTCTGCCCCGGAGTGTGGTGGAGGCTCCTTCTTTGGAGGCTTTTAAACAGAGGCTGGATGGCCATCTGTCGGGAGTGCTTTGAATGCAATTTTCCTGCTTCTTGGCAGGGGGTTGGACTGGATGAGGTCTCTTCCAACTCTATGAATCTAAGTATGAATGGGTCCAGAGAAGAGAAATCTCAGCACACGTATCTTAATAATTTGTTAGTTGTGCTTATTAACTAACAAAGCATAGCTACTGAAATCCTTTTTTCTTCTTCTTTTTTTGCACAGTTGGGACAGTGAAATAGCCCTGTTCCCTTCTGCTGAAAGTCTCCCATGGTAGAAAACCACAATTACGGCTAACTATATCTAGCTATGTGACAACATTATCAACCAATAGCCTCCAAACAACAACAGACAATAGGTAACATTTTAAAAGAATGTTTCTCTGGTTTGTTTATCTTCCCAGTTACTTTTTACTGAAATTTAGCAGCAGATTTAGTAATAGGAAAATTTAAAGCAAGGACTAGTCTTTTACTTTTTGTGTAGCCTTCTGACTGCTATTTGGCACCTCTGTCAATAGAGGGGAACAGAGCTCTTCCAATGCACTGAGTCCAACCCTGCCTGCAACAGAGATGCAAAATGTGGGATAGCAAATAACAGCAGAATCAGTTGCTACCACTCCTTCACTGCACCCTCTTCCTTGGCATTTCTACAACAACATAGTGGGTGGTCTGATGGCATCACAACATAGTTTTCCATGCTCCTTATGTGCTATGATGTGAAGCATCAAGTTAGGGGTTCTGCTGTGCTGCAGACAATGCCATGGAAGAAAGGCCAAACATTCACAGGTTCATATTTATATCACATGTAGTCCGGCCCTAATAGATGGTTGATGTGTCAATAATCTTTATAATGATCTGCCAAATATAACTGCTCTCTCTCAGAGGCACCTCTGCCTGAGATGAATTGCATTGTTCCTAAAATTGCCAAACTGGGGATCTGAAAATAAATCATATGCTTGGTGAATACCTCTACTATATAAAGGTCCATCTACTAGGCATGGTTAGATACTGTCGGAATCTTCGGAATTCGGAATAAAGTTGGAAAAATTATCTTTTTGAAGCAATTTTGAAGTTGTTAAGAAAACCAGAAATCCCTTTGCCCTTCCAAAGCTTGTCACGCCATTTTTTCTGACTCAGCATTTGGAGGCAAGCAGCTTGCATGCTGGGATGTTTGCTTCCCAGCCAATGAGGGGAGAAGTTTTGGGGAGGGGAGGGGTTTTGGCATGGCAGCCATTGCACTATATAAAGGGCAGCACATGGCTCAGAGCCTCATTGTGAGCCTGGGAAGGGAAGGGGAAAGAGAAAGGGAAGGGAGGTTGTGAAGGGAGGTTGGGAGAATAGCAGTTGGAAGAGCAGGGCAAGTGGAGAAGGGCTGAGAGCAGGAATGTTACCTGCCTGCCTTGCAGACTCTTGTGTGTTTTTGCTGTTGGAGTCCCTAGCAAATTTCCAAGAGAGGGAGGACAATCTGTAGCGAAGGACACTCATCCCTGGAACACCACAGTGAAAGGCTGCCAGTGCCCCACATCTGATAGCCTGAGAAACACTTACGCTCTGTTATTCCACCACTTCCCTCCTTCTCCATTTTGTCCACACAACGACTTACCCAAGTCAGAACACTGCACCACCCTTAGGTGGCAATGGCAGCCAAATGGACAGAGTCCCGGGTAGAAGGGGAAAGTTTCTTCGCTTTCAGCTGCTCCTGAAGTTGGGAAGATCCCTGAAGCCTCTTCCTCTTCTTGGACGTTAGGATCATCCATGGAGAAGTCCCAGAAGCCTCTCTGCACAAATGGCCTGTCACAGTTCACCAGTCCCAGGAGTGGCACCAGGAAGAGGAGGAGGATATGCTCCATAGTGAGGGTTGCCAGGCTGCAATTTGACAGATGAAGAGGGGAAGAATGGGGAAAGAGAAGAGGGCAGAAAGAGAGAAACAGAGTTAGGTTCTGCTGTGAAGCAACACATAGCCACTCTAATCATCAGAACTTAGAAGTGTTGTATCTTTGGACTGTCACTTCCAGAATCCTGAAAGGGCTGGCTAGAGAATTCTGGATGCTGTAAATTTAAAAAGCGATGTTTCAGAAGAAATATTCTGTAATTTGCAGCTTGGGAGTGATCCTGGATTCATCCCTGAGCCTGGAACCCCAGGTCTCGGCAGTGGCCAGGAGAGCTTTTGTACAATTTAAACTTGTGCGCCAGCTGCGCCCATACCTTGGGTAGGCTGACTTGGCTACGGTGGTCCAGGCTCTTGTTACATCCCAAATAAGACTACTGCAATGCACTCTACATGGGGCTGCCTCTGAAGATTGCTCAGAAGTTTCAATTATTGCAACGGTCGGCAGCCAGATTGCTCACCGGAGCAGCGTACAGGGAACATACAACCTCTCTGTTACACCAGCTCCACTGGCTGCCAATCAGCTTCCAAGCATAATTCAAAGTGATAGTTTTAACCTTTAAAGCCCTAGATGGTTCTGGCCCAGACTACCTGTCCAAACGTATCTCCTGTTACGAACCAGATCATCTGGAGAGGCCCTGCTCTCAGTCCCACCACCATCGCAAACTGGTGTGATGGTTATGGGAACTGGTGGGATGGTGACTGGTGGGAACGGGGGACAGGGCCTTCTTAGCAGCGGCCCCCCGTCTGTGGAACTTTCTCCCCAGAGACATCAGACTGGCCACCTCTCTTCTGTCTTTCAGAAAGAAACTTAAGATTTGGTTATGGGACCAGGCATTCAACTAGCGATTAGAAGAAGAACTTTATTTTTCTACCCCGCCTCCATCTCCCCGAAGGGACTCGGGGCAGTTTACATGGGGCCAAGCCCGGGGAACATACAATTAAAAGCAGAGCAATAACAAAATGCAATTTAAAAACATAAAACAAACATAACAATAATAGACAAGCATCAAGCAACAAAAGAACTAAGGGGGGGGAGGCCAAAAATACAAGCTGATTAAAGAGTCATTAGTTCAACAAGATGGATGAAAATGTATAATAGCATAGGAAATATTAAAACAGAGCAATCTAACAGGATCAGAAACAATTCAGTATGACTTATAAAATCTGAATAGTAATGTAATATAGGAAATTCAGGTTGAATGATAATTAGGTTGCAAATGGAAAGACGACTTAGGCAACCTATGACAATGTATTGGCCCAGACTCGGATTTGGTTTTCAACTGGCGTGTTTAATCAATTGTTTTTAATTTATTGTTTTAATGTGTTTAATGTATTTGCTGAATGTGTTTTTGATTGTTTTATGATGGTAATGCATCTTATGATACTTGTTGTGAGGCCACCCTGAGTCGCCCCCCCCCCGGGGGGTGTGTGTGAGAAGGGCGGGGTATAAGTATAGGAAATAAATAAATAAATAATATTCAGAAAAAAATCTGCATATCTGTGGGATACATTACTACTTGATCCCAGTTATCTGAAACCACAGACAAGACCAAATGCTGTTAAATTACTTGACTTCTGGTCCCAGCATACTATAGAGTTGCACTGGAGGACCTAGAGATTCCAAGAGGGTTATCCTTTCTAGAAATTTGCAGTGTCCTCCAGTGCAACTCTATAGTAACTACCAGAGGAAGCATATCATTGAATCGCCTAGAGAGCCCCCCTCCCCAACAGGCATAGATAAATAAAACTTCAGATATAGATTCTGTAGTCACAGAGCTTATTGTATAAAGGTAATGCCCAGCCATAAAACTCGCCCACTGAGTAAATTTCAGTCATTTGATGAGAGTAGAAAATAAGAGATATTTTATTTTTAAAATGACATCATTTCCTGTCATATGTTCTGAAGTTGATGGTTGGTGATGGATGGGTTAATGTGAGTATTAGTTCTAGAGGATTTGGTAATTTGTAAGTGAGAGTTCATGGGTGAAAGCAATTAGGAGTGGAGGTGTGCAGGAGATGGGTTGCAACTGGGTGTTACTGGATTTAAGGAGCTAACCTTGAGACTGATCTTTGGGAGAAAAGTATCTGTTGCATTTTGGTGGTGGATGCTGCTGGTTCCCCCCCCCCCCCCCCCGGTCTGTTGGATTTTCGGTATCCTGACCTGTCTCCTGTAATCTTGGAACCTTGAACCTTTGGGCTGGCTTTTGACTACGGTATACTCTTGATCCCTGGACTCTGTTATTGAAGTCTCTGTGTTTGACCACTAGACCGGACCCTTTTGACTACGAAGTTATTTTTGCTATCAGTTTTTGTTTATTCTGTAGCTGAGTGCTATCCTTGTGTTTTATATTTTGGTCTATTAAAATGGCCAGCAAGTAAATGCTGTTTTAATTAAACTGCTTGATAAAACTGGGAGTTTGATTCATCTCTACCTAAATAAGCCAGAGCCCTGGCAATGTGACATTTCCCCATCCACATATGAATGTGCTCGTAATCTCAATCACTTCATTATTTTAGGAACAGATGTACCTCGGGGTGAGATGAGGGAAATGGCAGAAAAGAAATAGCAAAAATAGCCCGGATAAATAATGTTGCCAAATAAAGAGCCAAACCTGAGCTCAAGGGCCATCTTCCCTTGATGTTACAGAACATAGAACCTGATGATGTTGTTAAGCACAACACATTAAGCATCAACTCCGCTTGCTCACAGCATGCCATTCCAATAATAAACATTAAGTGTGACACAAATGACAAAATATTTATCTCGCTGGAAATTCAGTTTCCAAGCTCTGCGTTGAAGAGAAACTCACACAGAGGTCTGTTGGTAACACCTATGTAAATCCTGTTATTAAAAACACATGAGAGTTGTAATCCAAACAAATAATGTTTTCTGAGTTCAGCTTTGAACAGAAAACAGTTGACAGGAGCTGGAAGGGATCAGATGTTGAAAAAACAAGAAAAGGACCATTATCAAGTAGGACATAGATTGCAGAGGGTGCAATGGGCCTCTGGTATCTGCTGGGATTTGGTTCTAGGGTTTCCATGGAAATCAAAATCCATGGATACTCACATCCCATTATATACAGTGGATAGTAAAATGGCATCCCTTATATAAAATGTTAAAATTAAGGTTGACCTTTTGGACTTCTACTGGGAGGAGAGGGGTATTTCCAAACTGTGGGTGGTAGAATCCATGGGTGTGGAATGTGTACAGAAAACTGACTATACTAAAATAAAAAAAACACCCTGAAGCTAATCGAATAAAATATAAACACTGTAGGAATGGGAAGAAATAACTGAAATGAGGAGAAATAACTGGAATGGGGAGGAACAACTGGATGCACTGCTATTTATAAAATTCCCAGGGCCTAAGAAAGGAATGCCGCATAATAAAATACAAAACAGCAATTATAACAGTTAAAAGCATAACTTTAAGACATAAAGATTAAAACAGTATACTTACAGTCCACTGAGCTATTACCAGCCTGGTGGATATTTATCTAGCTGCATACTATGATTGAGTACTCCATTTAATTTATCCATAATCCACTTCCAAGCCATAGTCAATATTGTCAATTGTCCTTTTAACCTAATTGCCCGAAGGCCTGGTCCCACATCCACATTTTTACCTTCTTTCTAAAGGTGAGATGGGATGATGATGACCTAATTTCCCCGGGAAATGAGTTCCACAGCCGGGGGGCCACCGCTGAGAAGGCCCTGTTTCTCGTTCCTGCCAAACGTGTTTGAGACAGAGGCGGGGCTGAGAGCAGGGCCTCCTCAGAAGATCTTAAACTCCAAGGTGGGACGTAGAAGGAGATACGTTCAGACAGGTACGCTGGACCGGAGCCGTATAAGGTTTTATAGGTCAAAACTTCAACCAGGGCTAATCCTCTCTTGACTTCAGGGCTCTTCTGGGCTGTAGTAAAATGCCTTGTACAAACCCACCTCTATGTGAGGGCTCCTATGAGAGTGAGTGCAGTCCTTGCCCAAAACTGGTTGTGCAACCAAAGCTCTTGAATCTCTGCCTAGAAGGTCTGGATTCACAGCCTGGATTCTTGCCCAGCGCCTTGGCCCACCAGAGCTGTGTCAGGCCTGGAAGAGGCAGCTGTGTGGTTGGCTCCCCTTCCCTCTATCCAGGGCCTGGGTGGAGCTGGCCAGCAAGCGGCTGTAACACTCTGCCTCTGAGGATGCCAACTGGCTCTGCCAAGACTCATTTGAGGACATGAACAGAGGGGTTTTCTGTCTTTTCTTGGTTGCGAAGGAAACTTGGGATGGAGCAGGGCAGGAGGAGGAAGACAAGCCCCTTGAGTGCATTGGCTGAGGAGTCATTTCTTGATTCAGTACATGGATTGCAGTTGCATTTTTGCAACACAGCTTCCCTAGAATACACTGGCCAGTATGGCCACTTGCCTGGCTGGCAGAGGGATTCCAAGAGCTGTAGTCCAAAACGGTAACTGTTGTCACAAACTCTGCATCAGTTTACTAGCCAGTGATATTCTAGCTAGATCTAATAAGCCTCTCTTCCTCTTTCAATCTTCTAGGTGCCTTGAAACACATTAAAAACTATTCAAATGACTACAAAGGCAAAGTCAAGCTAGAATGATAACTAGCCTTAACCATTCTAATTTGACCATCCTTATAATGTATCTGTAACTATTGATAATTCACATTGTTTTTGCTCTTTATGTGAGCATGATAATGGCCTTCGCTTGTTATCTTTTGCTTCTGATTTCTGTTCTGTGCAGCCTATACCTGTACCTTTTTGTCATGGCCTATTTGATTTGAGCCTTAACCATTCATTTTACCAACTTTTGCACATGTGCAGTTTGAATTATTACATTACCTGAAAATACCATTCACAGATTACAATGTGTTATGTGAAAACTGTGCCTCTTCCAGATGGGGTGACCTATTTATTTCTATTCTGAAGTGTACGACAACTTATATATGTCTGAGCTCAGACCTTTCCTATCCA